CGTCAGGTGAGATAATATGCAGGACCTGTGCACTGTAGTTCTGGATCAGCAGCAGCTCTATAGGGTGGCTGTTTCTGTAACACAGATTGAGGGAAGACAGGATAAAAACTAAACCACAGAAAGAAATTAATATTTGCATTAAGAAGCGATATTTACCCCCCTTGGATTGTTTTCAATGTGCAGTTTTACCTTTATAAGGGCACATTTTCTAACCTTAGTAAAAAAAAAACAATGTGTCAACTTTCATGTAAATTCTTAAATCTACGTAAATGCAAGACATTCTAAGACTGACACCAGTCAAATAAAACTGATATCAACAAAATCCATCTTTGCACTGCAGAAGTGACAGAGAAGCTGCATCTGAAGTGTTGTTTAGATGGTTTTACACACTGTTTAATGCAGCTCAGAGATGCAATGAATGCATTTACACTGCAGTTACAAATGCATTTATAATGTTATGAGATTGAATATAGAACTAAGAAATCAAACTCTAAATATGAAACCAGTTTGCTAATTCAACCAATTCATTCAAACTGACTAATTCATTCAGGAATGAATCAAGTAACTGATTTCAAGTCAAGTCAAGTCACCTTTATTTATATAGCGCTTTTAACAATACAGATTGTGTCAAAGCAGCTTTACAGCATTAAACAGGAAAATAGTGTGTCGATAATGCAGAAGGACAATAGTAAACACTCAATGTTCAGATAAAGACAGTTCATCATTGAGTTCAGTGATGTGATCATCCAGCTCAGTTCAGTTTAAATAGTGTCTGCAATCAAGTCCACGAGATCGCTGGATATTAAGTGAAATTTCAGCACTGTGTACTAGCATACAACTCTTGCTATTTCTGCCATTAAAAGATATGGTAAAGAGTAGTATGCTAATATGAGGTTTGAGTGTACGAAAAACTCACTCAATTTGTTCAGAAACACTGAATAATTCAGGAATGAAACACCACTGTGTTAATAGTGTTCATCGTCTGTTTGATTACATCTTTAATTGATTTTCCCGTACATTTCTGTCATATGTACATTAACTGACCGTCCCCACTGATAAGCTGCTACTAAATATTGTAGAAACTTAGTTTTCTGTAAAGTTGCTTTGCAACGATTTGTATCGTGAAAAGTGCTGTACAAATAAACTTGAATTGAATTGAACTGTGGCGATCAGGGATGCAGTGATTGGAGAAATAGAGCAAAACAGTCCATACTGTACATATTCTATCTAAAATGTGTGTCACTTAATATTAACTTGAACATACAGTAACATTACCATTTATTTAGTTATTTATATTAGGGCTGTCAATTGAGTAGTCAATATTTCATCGCGATTAATCGCATGATTGTCATGAGTTAACTCGTGATTAATCGCACATTTTTATCTGTTCTAAATGTACCTTAAATTAATACTTTTCAAGTTTTTAATACTCTAATCAACATGGGCATGGACAAATATGGATGCTTTATGCAAATGTATGTTTATTATTATATTAGTGAAACCATACTCAACACAGAGCATGAAGACTAGACATGTTTCAAAGCTCATAGATGTTTTTCAAAGAACTTGTTCAAGTCTATTAGACACAATGAATAAAAGAACATAGAAATACCAGGTTCACATTACTTCTCTTTCTTTGCACTGAGCAATACTTACTCATGCCTGTTTACATGATCAGGACAGGGCAGCTCACTTCTTCTGAACATGCTAAATGTACATTTATTATTTACTATTACATTTGTTTGCCTCTCTGTGCCCACGTACTGTATTCTGATGCAGCTAAATTCTCAACTAAACTGTTTTCATTGATATATTTTACTGTTTGTGTTGTCAGACAACGGAATGAATATGAAATAGTGACTGAAACGCGACCCATTTCTAAATTATTCCAAACTTTTGAGTGATAGTGTATCTAAATAAACAGATTCTAAATCAGTAGAAAGCATTCGTCTATAAGAGTAAGACCCTTGTTTTCTTTACATGCATTTTATTTTTGCTTATCTTGTGAATGTACTGTTTTAACTGACAGAGATGCATCTTGGAAATATCTGACGATACGCCACAAATGGGCTCTACAGCTGAAGTTTTTCATTGAATGACTCAGATGAGTGTCTGTTCCTCACACAAAACACCTTCTCACGACTGCAGAGAAACAGACTGACAGCGTCTAACGTCTCTCATTCGCTGAGCTTGATTCTGACCTCTTCAGTCCGCCGTCGCTGCCGTTTCATCAGCAGCTTCTATATTAAGCAGCGTGTTGTGTATTAGTTTGTATGACGGAGCGTGTTGGTGCCCACGCTTCGATTGAGACACAGATGGCGCAGTATTTTAGTGGCTGTTGCGTTCGCTGTGTGGGTGTTGAAATTGTACTACATGTACCGAATAACCCCTCCGCAGTCTTGGGTTATGTAAAGTTTAACTGCATCTCGGAGTCCAAAAGTTTCAGCAGCCGATGCAACGAGAGCAGATCATCACACAAACAATCCTGAGATGAGAGTAATGACTCTTACTCTACAAATACATCAGATAGAGTCAGAAAAAAACCTCCTGCACACACATAACTGCATCTCGGAGTCCAAAAGTTTCAGCAGCCGATGCAACGAGAGCAGATCATCACACAAACAATCCTGAGATGAGAGTATTAATGACTCTTACTCTACAAATACATCAGATAGAGTCAGAAAAAAACCTCCTGCACACACATACACACATACACAGATGAAAGCATTGACTCATCAATTTGTCATAAAAATTATTACATTACATATTTCAAAATGTTTACATACATTTAGGGTAGCTATACACTACCATTTAAAAGTTTGGAATAGTTGCACTTTTTATTTGTTTTTGTAAGAAGTCTCTTCTGCTCACCAAGGCTGCATTTATTTGATCAAATAGTCAAATATTTGCAAACGGTGAAATATTATTCTAATGTAAAACAGCTGTTTTCTATGTGAATATGTGTTAAACTGTAATGTATTTCTGTGATGCGCAGCTGTATTTTCAGCATCATTCCTCCAGTCTTCAGTGTCACATGATCTTCAGAAATCAGTATAATATGCTGATCTGCTGCTCGAGAAACATTTCTGATTATTATCAATGTTGAAAACAGTCGTGCTGCACAATATTTTTGTGGAAACTGTGATGCATTTTATTTTTCAGGATTCACAGATGAATAGAAAGTTCAAAAGAACAGCATTTATTTGAAATATAAATCTTTTGTAACATTATAAATGTCTTTACTGCTACTTTTGATCAATTTAATGTGTTCTTGATGAATAAAAGTGTTAATTTCTTTAAAAAATATAATTTACCCAAAACTTTTCAATGGTAGTGTATCACGGTTTCCACAGAAATATTGTGCAGCACAACTGTTCTCAACATTGGAAATAATCAGAAATGTTTCTTGAGCAGCAAAGCAGCACATTGGAATGATAATAAATGACATCTTAAAATACATTGAAACATTTTAAATGATAATATTTCAATTTTTACTGTATTTTTAATCAAACAAATGCCTTGATGAGCAGAAGAGACTTCTTTCAAAAGCATTAAAAATGCTGATTCCAAACGTTTGATCGCTGGTGTGCATGTACTGGACGTTGTGCAGAAGAATATGATTGATTATCCGTGTGAATGCTCATATTTTCGGCTGCTGCTCCTTTAAACGAGCTCTATATGTGGCTGTTGTCGTGGGTCAGATGAGTCCCAGTCGCTCGTATCAGAGCAGAAACAGATCTTCTGTGGCTCTTCGGGCCATTTTCTGTGTAATGACGCTTTGGCTGTTTTCTGTGTCTCTCAGGTGCTGGAGGAGCGTCGGGGGGGTCCAGAGACACAAAAGCTGAACCCCCCAACACACGGCAGAAACACTGCTAATTGTCTTTCCCGTCCCGTGAGCTTGTCTCTCCAAAGGCCAGTGACGCTTATGGATTTTCTCATGCTGACTGTAAGTAACGATGTCAAATTATTCTACTAACCCTAACCCTAACAGTCTACTAATGCTTTAATGAGAGATCGCTGACATGTAGTTACTTGTAGTCCGTGCTGGGAAGGTTACTTTGGAAATGTAACAGGTTACAGATTACAAGTTACCCTATTTAAAATAGTAGTGTAACTGTTTCAGTTACTTTATTAAAGTAATGTAACTGATTACGTTTGATTACATTTTGATTACTTTTTTAAATTTCTAATAAGTGTTTTCAACTGTTAATCATTTTCGAACATGTAAATGCAATCTTACAGTAGCACTCAGCACTGATTACTGTCAGACTTTCACAATCCTTCATCACTCGAATTAAGATTATAATATTTAATTTAAAGCACAGACACCACAAAATCAAACTTTAGCACCTCTTTTTACTTTGAGATCATTCTGAGCTTAAATACAGATTTAAAATCATAAGATATAGTAGCCATGATACTGTTTTTGAAATCAAATCTTTGCACAGCTATCACAGGAAACATTGGCATATAACAATGCTTTGGAAAAACAGTTCATCTTAAAAAATAAAACATATACATAAACCTCAATAGGAAATTAAACAGTTATCGAATAAGCAATTCTGTGCCCTAAACTCCTGAAACATTGGTGTCTCATAATTTAAAGCAGTCAATGCAATTTTGGAAAGAAATCTATCATATCTGTATGTGTGTGAAAATATTCAGACACCCTTTGTAATCGTTAACATTTTCATAAGTAACTGTAATTGAATGACACATTTATTTCTCAGTAATTGTAACAGATTACAGTTACATTTATTTTGTAACTAAATTACGTAATTCCGTTACATGTAACTAGTTCTCAACACTGCTTGTAGTTAGTTGAAGTGGACTTTTGAAATAAAGTGTAATACAGTGCCGAGAAAAGGTTTTTGCCCCCTTCCTGTTTTTGTAATTGTTTGCATATTTGTCACACTTAAAAGATTCAGACCATCAAACTAATTTTAATATTACTCAAAGATAAGCCGAGTAAATACAAAATGCCATTTTGAAATAATGATTTTATTTGTTAAGGGAAAAAAGCTGTCCAAACCTGCCTGGCACTACGTGAAAAATTAATTGCCTCTAAATCTAATAACTGTTTGTGCTACTCACTAAGTGTTTGTGATAACTGAATCTTTCACATCGCTGTGGAGGAACTCTGGCCCACTCTTCTTTGCAGGATTGTTTTAATTCAGCCACATTGGAGGGTTTTCCAGCATGAAAAGACTGTTTAAGGTCATGTCACAGCATCGCTTTTTTCCCTTAACAAATGAAATCATCATTTAAAAACTGCATTTTGTATTTTCTTGCATTATCTTTGAGTAATATTAAAATTAGTTTGATGATCTGAATCTTTTAAGTGTGACAAATATGCAAATAATTAAAAAAACAGAAAGGGGGCAAAAACCTTTTCACAGCACTGGAAATAAAAGATACTGTGGCAAATGATGAATTATCCTTGTTGTTTAATTGTAAGAGAAGAAGGAAAATGATCATGGGAAAAAATAAATTCTAACGATTATAAGTGAAGCAAGACTCTCAAACACATCTGAGAGTCATTTAAAGAGCAGATGAGTTTGATGAGTGACATGTAAAGTGTGTTGTTTAATGCGGTTTTGCTCGTTCTTCAGTGGCACGTGTGTTAACAGAAGCTGCAGAAGTTCAGGAAGCTCTTCTCTCCCAGAAACTTTGCTTCCGTCGGTCATCTGAGGAGAATCTGTGCCGGATGGAGTCACGGCGAGGCCTGACACACACTCACACACAGAGCTCTGAACTCCAGCGCTGTGATTGACACCCAAGCTGCTACATTGTCTCAGCGTGGGTTAAAAATATAATGCAGCTGCAGTGTCGCCACGGCGATGAGGGCCGTCCAATCAGATGTCTCTCGGCTGCCAGGTTGTTAAAGAACACGAGAAAGAGTCGGGCTTCACCCGACGGCACATCAGCCGCTGTTTCCAGCACTTCTCTGCTTCTCTCAGACGCTGGGCTGCTCTCAGAATAACATTTAGGACTGCATTTAAGATTTATGTTTTTGAATTGCATATAAAACTTCCATTCGATTGGATTATGCCGTTTTAACATAGACTAATGAAACTAATGTGATGCATATTTGTCAGTCTTAGATGAATGAAACAGGTCAGATTTCTGCACCACTGTTTTTTTGTATCGAGATAACGAAGTTAATTTTATTGATAGGTTTCTTAATATTTTGTTCATTTTTTAAATTTTCCTTTCTGACTTTAATTTTAAAGTTTTAGTAATTAATAGTTTTTCTAAGTTATTAGTTTTAGTGTCTATATAGTTTTTATGTACTTTTATGTCTGTTTTAGTGTTAGTTATTTTAGTACATCAGGTTAAACTAAATGAAAATGAGACGTTACTTTGGCAACTCTACATATATATATATATATATATATATATATTTATAAACGTGTTTGGCATAGTTTATTGTTAACTATTTGATTTCATTTAAATAATCACATTTTCAAAATGCATTTATTCATTTATTCAAGTCATGCTTAGAATCAACAAATCTATTTTTAGCATATAAAGTATGAATATGGTTCACATTTGTGAGACAAGCAATATTCGATCAGTTAAAATATGAGAAAAAATTTAGATAGAAAGAGATAAAAGGTGAATTTACAGATGATAAATATATAACCTGGTAATTGAGTATTTAAAACGTATGCAGTGTTTTGGCTAAGTGTCAAATTGTAGAATATAACCTAAAGTCATCATGAAAAAAAAAAGATTTGAATAAAAACATATGTACAAATTAATATCATATAAAAGAATATGACCTATAAAAAAGACTTGAATAATATAATATAATATAAAATACATATTTTGGCTAAATGTCAAATTGTAGAATATGGCCTAAAGCCACGATAAAAAGATCTGAATTAAAGACTTGAACATAAATGTAATGTATATATATATATATATATATATATATATATATATATATATCGTCCAGCTCAAAAACTTGTATAGTTTGTGTCAGTGTTGATTTAAAAACATCCAGTTATGCAGAATTTAAGATGGTAAATACTTTATTGGTGAGTTCAATACGATATACTATAATACAATAAATAGGGTATGATTTTACTGCAAAATTCAACGTATTAACATTGATAACTGAAAATCCGTGTTTCGCTGCCTGGAGTCCTATTGTTTCTGTGAATTGCAAAGATTTATTTGCTTCTCTTTTCTGTAGCTTATTTCAGCAGTCTGTAAAAATATACCTCATATTTCTTGTCAAATCTCTTGGTACAGTCAATCACAAAGCTCTTTCTGATTTTAGATGTTTTTGAAAGGTTTGATTCTGTTTGGTTTAATAATTAACATCAACTTTGCGAGTATGACTCTCACTCGGTTTGTGAATTAGCAGAACTTGAACAGGGACATTAAAGTACGTTTATATACTAGAAATTGGGCCAATTTAGTCCCAAGGAGTATTGAAATAGTACACTTACAAGTATACTACTAGTACACTGATATTTGTATACTTACTACATAAAGTATACTTAAAAATATACTTGAACTTTACTTAAGTATACTTAATAAAGTAAACTTGAAGTATACTAATTTTTGGTAAGGGAAATAACGCTTAATGTTGCTTAAGGTACCAAGATAGTGATAAAGACAAAATTCTAAAGCATGCTATGTGCAGATACGAACATAAGCCCAAAATCTGAAAGTAATGCGTTTATTTATGTTGAACGCTTATGCACAGTGACAGTGATGTTAAAAGACCACATTCTGTACACACCTTCCTACTAAAGCATATTATGTGCAGGAAAAATTATGAACCCAAAATATGAACTTTAAATAGTGTCAGCATATGCATAAGCGTTTTCTGTCTTACTGTCTTATTACATTAAACCAGCATTTTAAAATGCTACAAAACTGTTCACAAGCTTCCAGGGATTTAATTTTAGTTGTCATTTGTTGAAATAAATATAAACATACAGTTTGCTTGTGTCTGTCTGCTGATGTGACCCACAATCTCCTCCGTAGCCACAGAAAAATGAATTTACAATGACATCAATTATACTTCGTCATTAAAACGTTTCCAACAAAGAAATGAATCGACTTCTGTCAGCTTGTTGAACAAACACTTTATTTGGATAATCTGCCATATGACAGCTGAAGCAGCAGCGAGCGTCCAGTGGGCGACACTGTTTTCACGCTAATCAGATCAAAATTATAAACCAAATTCTACAAAATTTAAGAGAAAAAAATCTAATTATCATGCGAAGCGACAAACTAGCTTCTCGTCCCTGCGTACATAGCTTCACATTCTCTATATCAGCAGAATCAACTTAAAACACGCCGTCATTTATTGTCTTATTTATAATGCATCACTGTAAAAGGTCTACTTTTGTGTACACTCAGAATGAAAACAAAACATTGTGCTTTTGTAAAATGAAAACAAACAGGATGTTGCTTTCTGCCATTTCAGTTTCCTTTCTGTGAACAAATTAAGCGTGTCACAGAAATGACCTGAAACTCAGCATATATTGACTGCGTTACGTGTTTTTTCCCCTTGTTTATCTGCTGTCTAAATCAAATATATTTCAAGTATTTATTCCTTGTATGTATATATGTACTGCAGATTTTATATATATATATAACATTACAATTTAAAGCTGCAGTCTGTAACTTTTTTTGTTTAAAAATGATCTGAAATCAATATTTGAGCAAGTACATAACCAGCCAGTGTTCGAAACTATCTCCTTTCTTTAGCCAGATTCACAACGGTTAGCTTATAATAATGTTTTCTATTTTGAGTGCTACGGGTAGGAATTCACTGCCGCGTCATTACGTCACGTCTGTAAACATAAAGAAGTAGTCCCGGCTACTAGGCTGTCACATGTGAGGATCCTGCAGCTGGCGGATCGTTTATAGCCTTTTCTCACAGCAGCCGGAATAATTAAATATCATTTTGATGGCGGATTGTAATCCAGAAAGGATTATGTGTTTATGAAACACGTGTGAATGAAATTAAATTATATTCCAGTTTTAAATGTGCATCTGATTACAGATAGCCTGGGATTACACAAGATTTGTATTTTAAAGACTTTTGGGTTAAAATAATTTCTTAATATGAAATTCGAATGGAATGACCATTAGAGATTAGACTGTGCAGAAATTGAAATCTACACGCTAATACACACATAGTCACCAATGCTGATGTTGTTAACATTAACAATTTGAGAATAAAGTATAACAATAATAATAATTTGCACAGTTTGATGTGATATGAGTGATTGTTAGATTTAATCACCATTGGTAGCGCGATTTATGGTAATGCTTTTTTTCCTCAGTTGGTCAGAACAAACGTGGCAGACTTGTTACTTACTTGTTAAGATGGGAATATCCGGTGAAAATTATTATTTGGGTCATATATTCCAAGACGTGCTAGAATCTGTGATTCTGAAGTACAGTAAATATCCACCGGTGCAGTGACTGACTGCCACACATACTCTTCAGAACATTAGATTCATCCGCGCCGGAGCACAACCCACGTAATGAACATAATTGTGCAAATAACTGCAATTGCAGGTTTTCAAACAGAGATGGCGACAAAGAGGCAAAATTTACGGACTGCAGCTTTAATATAATATTTAGTATTTTCACATCTAGGTGGAGTACATTTTAATTTGTACTACTGTCTGTTCAAAATAAACAAATCTCCGACAGTAAACTTTTGCCGCGTTATATTTATGACGTAGCGTAGCCTACCGTCACGAAGAACCAATGATTTGCAACGCGTCCAGTGTAGAGCTGTTCTTTTACCATTCCTCTTTCTTTTTATAATTCCTCTAAATCCATTAAAATTCTTTATTTATTAAATTCTTTTATTGGGGTCTTTAAAATTAAACAGTTTTTCTGAAGAATCTTCAGCTCAAGGGTCATATGAAGTGCTTTTATTGTATTTTTGGCTCTTTCGTGTACACTATAAACTGTCATCGTATGGAGAAGACGTTCTTCACTGCGCTGATGATCACTGCAGCCACACCGCCATCATTTAGCCCAATGCCTCCATCACAGAGATGCAGACCGCAGCAACTAAAACGCAGATAAAAGCCAATAGAAGTG